GAGGAGAATCTGACCGATAGTTGAACCTTGGATCCAGGAGAAGCTGTCTGGTTGCGGAACACTGGACCAGCTCTACACTCTCCATCGGGTGCTCGAAGGTTCATGGGAGTTTGCCCAACCAGTCCACATGTGCTTTGTGGACTTGGAGAAGGCATTCGACCGTGTCCCTTGTAGTGTCCTGTGGGGGGTGCTCTGGGAGTATGGGGTTCGGGGCCCTTTGCTAAGGGCTGTCCGGTCTCTGTATGACCGGAGCAGGAGCTGTGTTCACATTGTTGGCAGTAAGTCAGACCTGATCCCAGTGCATGTTTGACTCCGCCAGGGCTGCCCTTTGTCATCGGTTCTGTTCATTGTATTTATGGACAGAATTTCTAGGTGCAGTCAGGGGCTGGAGGGGGTCCGGTTTGGGGACCACAGGATCTCATCTCTGCTGTTTGCAGATGATGTTGTCCTGTTGGCTTCAACAAACCAGGACCTGCAATGTGCACTGGGGCGGTTTGCAGCCGAGTGTGAAGCAGCTTAGATGAGAATCAGCTCTTCCAAATCCGAGGCCATGGTTCTCGACCGGAAAAAGGTGGCTTGCCCTCTTTGGATGGGTGGAGAGTCCTTGCCTCAAGTGAAGGAGTTCAACTATCTCGGGGTCTTGTTCACGAGTGAGGGGAGGATGGAGCGTGAGATTGACAGGCGGATCGGATCGGTGCAGCGTCGGCAGGGATGCGGTCGCTGTATCGAACTGTTGTGGTGAAGAGGGAGATGAGCCAAAAAGCGAAGCTTTCGATTTACTGGTCAATCGTCTTTCCTACTCTCACCTATGATCATGAGTTCGGGGTAATGACCGAAAGGACAAGATCACAGATACAAGTGGTTGAAATGAGTTTCCTCCGCAGGGTGGCTGGGCGCTCCCTTAGAGATAGGGTGAGGAGCTCAGTGACGTGGGAGGAGCTCGGGGTAGAGCCGCTGCTCCTCCACGTCGAGAGAAGCCAGCTGAGGTGGCTCGGGCATCTGTTCCAGGTGCCTCCTGGGCGCCTTCCTCGGGAGGTGTTCCAGGCATGTCCCACCGGGAGGAGGCCCCGGGAAGACCTAGGATACGCTGGAGGGACTATGTCTCTCGGCTGGCCTGGGAACACCTTGGGGTTCACCTGGAGGAGCTGAAGGACATGTCCAGGGTGAAGGAAGTCTGGGAGTCCCTGCTTAGACTGCTGCCCCCGCGACTTGGCCCCAGATAAGCAGAAGAAAATGGATGGATGGATGCACAACTTTTCTGGTAGAAGGTCCATCACCTTGTATTTCCATGGAGATTTTATACCTTTGCTTGTTCTATCTGGCATTTATTAATTATTACCTGTGTTTCTACTGCTCAAAAATATCATAATTTCCTCTGTGAATAGGGTTGCCTCTCTGACCTGTAATGTAGCCTATACTTGTCTCCCCTGAGATAGAGATAGGTTCAATCTCCACTGTGGAACATTCTAGACATTTCCATGAAGACAAGCAGGTGACAGACCCTCCACCAGAAAAGTTGTGCAGTGCACCTCTAATAACACAAAACATGGCTTAATATAGAAAATAGATACATTAGACAAATAGCACCTTATGAAATAAAGTACATTTAAATTTAAATAATGTTATGGCACATCATGTCCAACATGAGTCCCATTTAGTCCAAAGTTTATCAAAGAGGTCCATTTTCAAAGAATTTTTTTTTTTTTTTCTCTCAGTTTTTTGAATCTCATTCATAAATTTCAGTCCAGTCTTTGATTGTCGGTGCAGTTTCTGTCATCCATTTTCTCATAATGGCCTTTTTTCCTGTTGCCAAATTTATGCTCCAGAGATAACTATTGATTGTGTCCATGGCTCAAATACATAATTTTGAAGCTGAGTGGGATGGTCATATTAAAAACAGTTTGCAGTTGTTAATTTCGGTCCGATATTTATTATATTGATGGATGGACGTCATCAAGTTTTTTGTTAAACTTTTATAATAAAACGTTCATCCAAAGCATGAGGGTGAGATGTCGTGCCAACTTCATTCTGCAGTAATCCCTCAAGACAGTTTTGGTGTAAATTGAACACAGAAGACATTGGCTAAAGGAGATAAATAGGCACTTTCTGAGGAGGCTGGTCTGATGATGGAGACTGAAGAGGAAGAGTTGTGCTTCCCTCATCTCCTCAACAGCTCCTGCAGAAAGACCCAGAGCAACTCATTTCACGTGTATTTCGTTTATGCCCTGCTCGCACTCGTCTCGTCTCTTTGTTCACTGCCATCCTTAACCTGCTGGTCATCATCTCCATTGCACATTTCAGGTAAATGCAAAGATAAATTATGTATATTTTTTGCTTTTGCTGTATTTTTTTGTTTTCATTTTTGTGCTTATCCATATTTGAATAGAATTTTCTGTTTTTAATGTGTAACTTTATCAATGAAAATTGTATTGAATTCATGATGTTTTAGATGCAACCTTATATTTGTACTGAGGGCATATGAGATATATTAGAATTTAGTAAACATTTTACAATAAACAATTAAGTAAACAATTTGTGTTTTTTCGACCATCTAATAAATCTGGCAAGTAATTAAATAAGAATCAGTCCTGCTTTGAAAACTTTTATATTTTATTTATAATGTAAATGGTGTTAAGAAATACACCTTTTTGATTGTTTTCTTTTTTTCCTTTTTCCAGGTGAAAAATCTTCAAATGAATAGAATAGTTTTTATGTTATTTTTTTGTGTCTCACATTAAAGGACCCATATGGCACTATTTTCTGATCTCATATAATGTTTCCTCATCAAAAAAATGCCTGGAGTTGTGATTTGTTTCATTGACACATGTTGAAAACACAAACCCTGCATTGTTCCACCTTGTGATGCCATGTGGTAATAATGAATAAAGGACTGAAAACCCCTACACCTTCATTAGAATCCTTTCGATAATTTCAGTCCTGGATATACCAATCTCTACTGAACTAAAGGTTAAAAGTAGCTGTTGACTTGAATACTACAATCCAATTAAACTAATACATTTTAACATGAAAATCTCACAAGAGTCAAATTTGTGTAATATAGGACCTTTAAATTGACTAAATGTATATTGTACAAACTACTAATTAAAACCATTTGTCTCTTTTGCAGACAGCTTCACTCCTCCACTAACCTTATCCTCCTCTCCCTGGCTGTCTCCGACTTCCTCATTGGCCTCGTGGTGATACCGATCTATGGGCTGATGTGGAAGACCTGTTGGTTTTTTGGGGACATGTTGTGTGCATTGTACCACCTCCTTCCGTTATCTTTAACTACAGGTTCAGTGGGAACAGTAGTCCTCATTTCAGTAGACCGTTACTTAGCTATTATTGACCCGTTGCATTACCAAATCAGAATGACTGAAAAGGTAGTAAATTGCAGCATTTCATTGTGTTGGGTGTACGCATTTGTTTATGCTATTTTTATTTCATTTGACAACTTGCAAAACCCTGGTAAATATAAGTCTTGCGAAGGGGAGTGCATGGTTCACTTCTCAAAGGAAGCGGATATAATTTTTGTGTTTGTCATTCCAGTCATTATCATCGTTGTCCTGTATATGAGAGTGTTTGTAGTAGCTATGTCCCAGGCCCGAATCATGCGATCTCACATTACTACTGTGACGTGCAAAGCTTCCAAGAAAACTGAGATTAAAGCCGCTAGGAACCTGGGTATTGTTGTGATCGTGTATCTGATGTGCTACTGCCCGTACTACTGTGTGGCCTACTCTGGGGTCAGTGTCTTGTTTCTGGGGGCTCCAATAGAAATGGTCATGCTTTTCCTCATGCTCTTCAACTCCTGTCTAAATCCTCTTATCTATGCCATGCTCTACCCATGGTTTAGGAAAACTATTGAACTCATTGTCACACTGAAGATTCTGAGATCTGGGTCTCGAGACTTTATGCTCTTCTAGTCACGTTTTTTTTTTTTTTTTTTGAAGGTGCAGCATTGCACAACTTTTCTGGTAGAAGGTCCATCACCTCGTATTTCCATGGAGATTTTATAGCTTTGCCTGTTGTATCTGGCATTTATTAATTATTACCTGTGTTTCTACTGCTCAAAAATATCATAATTTTCTCTGTGAATAGGGTTGCCTCTCCGACCTGTAATGTAGCCTATACTTGTCTCCCCTGAGATAGAGATAGGTTTAATCTCCACTGTGGAACATTCTAGACATTTCCATGAAGACAAGCAGGTGACAGACCCTCCACCAGAAAAGTTGCGCAGTGCACCTCTAATAACACAAAACATGGTTCAATATAGAAAGTAGATACATTAGACAAATAGTACCTTATGAAATAAAATACATTTAAATTTAAATAATGTTATGGCACATCAAGTTTATCAAACAGGTCCATTTTCAAATAAAATCTTTTTTTAATTTTTTTATTTTTTTCATTTTTTGAACCTTAATAATGCTTTACTTTATGCAGAACAGCAATGGCTTTGGAAATTTTGTCTTTTTTGTAATTTATATGAGACCTCCAGTCCATTCATCATCATCATCATAACTCCTAAAAATTTGGTTTCATTTACTCTTTGAGTCTGTATCCCATCCATTTCTAATGTTATGTTGTCTTTAATCTTTTTATCATTAAATAAAATGATATTTGTTTATTTAACATTAAGAATCAAACCAATATATTACTTTTCTTAGCTCTTTGTTAACTTTACTTGTGACGTCTTTTATGTCTTTTCCAGAGTAAAATAATGTTGTGTCATCAGCAAATAGAATTTTAAGTAAGTCATAAGTTTAAAGCCAATGGAGTCAAACATGTGGTACACTCTATCAGAAAAATTACATTGACCACCTTTAATTCACGACTGTCATTTAAAGGTGCATTGTTTAACTTCTCTGGTCTGGTCGTTACAGTAGAGAAAAAAGCTGAGCTGACGTAAGTAACAGGGAAATAGATGAAGGCGTTGACCACTGGAGACTTAAAGAATCAGGAGTTATATATCAGAGGGAGCTCAGTCACTTTCTCTAATGATGGAGACGGTGGAACTTTGCTTTCCACATCTACACAACAGCTCCTGCATTAAGCACCAGGCTGACATATTTGAGATAGATCTTGTAAGTGTCCTGCTTTCTCTCCTCTCCACGATCACGGCTGCACTCAACCTGCTCGTCATCATCTCCATCTCCCACTTCAGGTAATCTCACATACGGCTGAAGATTAATCACATTTCAATTGCAATTGAATTTGAATGGTTGAAATGAGCAAATCAAGCATTGTTTAAAGGTGCACTGTGTACATTTTCAGTTTGAGATCCATCACCTTCTTGTTTCTATGAATATGCTATAATATGTCATTGCTCTGCTTAGAATATTCCACAATATGACATTAAACAGATCTGCGTTACATTTATTTGTTGTTCAAAAATACCTAGAATAACAGACATTCTGATAATGTGCCTCTTCACAGATCAGACCTGTAACTTGGTCTGGTTTGGTTTCCATGAAGATAGAAAGGTTTAATACGGTGAAGAAGAAGAAAAGGAAAAAAGCGTAAGACGGATCCTCCACCTGAAAAGACAATGCACACAATACACCTTTAAGTACCATAATTTCCTACGAAACTGCTAAACCTGTAGTCCTAAAGTTCTGAAATGTTTTTTAGTTTATGCTTTAGTCTTTTCGTTGATTCTTCAGGAACAGAGCCTATTTTTTAAAGTGCATGTGACCTGTTTAAACTGTCAGAAAAATGCCTTCCTTGTGTCTAAATTGTCTCTGCATGGGACAGAGGATAGGTAGAGGTATTATGTTTTAAAACTTCCTCTATTTTCCAACTTTTTTTTCTACTTTTCTTTACAAATGATCTTGACTGATGTAAAAGTATGATAAATATTATTGCATTCTATACCACTAAACCAAGTAATAAATTTAAATATACATTCATCTGTCAAACGTACTTTAAACATAAAATGTTCATCTAATTGCAATCGCAAATTGTTCAACCCTAAACATTCTGTTTTTCCTTTTCTTTTTCTAGGCAGCTCCACTCCACCACTAACCTCATTCTGCTGTCACTGGCTGTCTCGGACTTTCTTGTTGGCCTCGTGGTCATACCAATTTTTGCCACAATGTGGAAAGTCTGTTGGTACTTTGGTGAACTTTTATGCGGTCTTGTCTACCTTGTGCCTTCTACAGCGATCATGGCTTCAGTTGGAACTGTGGTGCTCATTTCAGTGGACCGTTATGTGGCGATTTGTGATCCTTTGCATTACCCGACTAGAATGACAGAAAAGGTAGTTGGAATCAGTATTTCTGTGTGTTGGATCTACGCTTTTGTGTATGCAATTTCAGTTTATATTGACAATGTTATAAATCAAGATAAGTATCGACTTTGCCATGGACAGTGTATGGTTCATACGTCGAGAGATGCAAATTTTATTTTGGCCTTTGTCATCCCAGTTACCACCATTGTATGTTTATATGTGAAAGTTTTTATAATGGCTGCGTCACAGGCGCGGGCCATACGTTCTAACGCTACAGCTGTAATATCCAAAACTTCCAGAAAATCTGAAATTAAAGCTGCCAGGAATTTGGGTATCCTTGTACTGGTGTATCTGATGTGCTACTCGCCGTATTATTTTGTAGCCTATTCAGAGGCCAATATATTGATATTTGGTGTTCCCATTGAACTTGTATCTATTTACCTATACTTTTTGAATTCCTGTATTAACCCGCTCATGTATGCCATGCTCTATCCCTGGTTTAGAAAAGCCATCAAACTCATAGTCACACTGCAGATATTGAAACATGGATCGTGTGATTTGACAATTCTGTAATCTGTCATCATTTATTTGTAGATATGATTAAAATCTTATCATTTAGCATGTTTTTGTTCATCTTCATTGCCATTTCTGCTGTCTCTCCTTAATAAAGATATGAAATGCTAACACTTTGTTATAAGTTTATTTGAAGAGAAGCATTCTGGATCTATACTCTGGGAACTCTGGCTCCAAAAAACCTCAAGGGAGATTTTGATCTAAGGCCTTTTCTGAGACTCTCACTCTTTCAAATGTTGACCTCTTCACCCCAGTCTGCGGCCGTGCGTCTCCAATAATTTTTTTGTATGCAAACTGTACATAGTGTAAATATATTCCACTATGGTTTGAAGAAGGTTTTTTTTTTTATTTGTTTTTTTTTTTTTAATTAAGAGCGCCAAAGAATTGCATGGCAGATCTGTTTTGTTGTTTTTTTTCTGGGCATATTAAACAAGACATCAAGGTTAAGTTGATTCATATTTCCAAGTCAATCTGACAAAACACAGGGCAGACCACAGAAATACCCACTGAAATGAAATAGTGTCCCTAATGCCACAGCTCCACAAGAACCTGAACTGCAACAGATCACCTTTATCTCACCTATGCTCAGTCGGTAGAGTGTTTATCCTGTTGGTTGGTGTTGCCAATCCTGCTCTCGACATAAACATCACAGGTTGAGCGGTCAGATCCACCGACCCACAGGTTGGCTGATGTGATTCCCACAGATGAATGCTGTCGTTGTCTCCTTGGGCAAGACACTTAACCCACCTTTGTGTACACTGGTGCACGAGTGTGTGTGAATGGGTGAGTGGTTCGTTGATGTAACTGGAAGATGGAAAAGTGCTATATAAAAATGTGACCATTTACCATCTGCTTTTCTCCACAGAGGTCGATACATTTAATGCGAATGGAGTCAAATATGTGGTACGTTCTCTACCAGAAAAGTTACATCGACCACATATAATTCATGACTGTTCACTATTTTTGTTTAAATTTTCATTTAAAGGTGCATTCTGTAAATTTTTTGGTGGAGGGTCTGCCACCCGCAATTCTCCATGGACATGTTATTGCTTGTTTCACAGTATGGCGTTAAACCTTTCTGTCATCATGGAGACCAAACCACGCCAAGTTACAGGTCAGATCAGTGGAGAGTCGACCCCACTCACAGTCAGAATACTTGTTTTGGTTTTTTTTTGAGGTATTTTTGAGCAACAAATCCACCTGTAATTGAATAAATGTAAGGTCGATCTGTTTAATGTCATACTGTGGAGCATTCAAATCAGAGCAATGACATTACTCATAGAAACAAGAAGGTGATGGACCCCAATCGAAAAGTTACACAGTGCACCTTTAAGATCAGTGCTACCTCTTGACCTAAATTTGCACACAAAACCATCACAATAGAGAAAAAAGCTGAGCTGACGTAAGTAAGACGAAACAGATGACGGCGTTGACCATTGGAGACTTAAAGAATCAGGAGTTATATCAGAGGGAGCTCAGTCACTTTCTCTAATGATGGAGACGGTGGAACTTTGCTTTCCACATCTACACAACAGCTCCTGCATTAAGCACCAGGCTGACATATTTGAGATAGATCTTGTAAGTGTCCTGCTTTCTCTCCTCTCCACGATCACGGCTGCACTCAACCTGCTCGTCATCATCTCCATCTCCCACTTCAGGTAATCTCACATACGGCTGAAGATGAATCACATTTGAGTTACAGTTGAATTTACGTGGATGAAATTAGCAAATCAAGCATTGTTTATAGTTGCACTGTGTAACTTCTTGGTTTGAGATCCATCACCTTCTTGTTTCTATGAATTATGTCATTGCTCTGCTTAGAATATTCCACAATATGACATTAAGCAGATCTGCATTGCGTTTATTAAATTACAAGTGGTTTTATTGTTCAAAAATACCCAGAACATTCTGGCTGTGAGCAGGGTCACCTCTTCACAGACCTGGTTTGGTTTCCATGAAGATAGAAAGGTTTAATACTTTGAAGAAGAAAAAAAGAAAAGCATAAGACGGAAAAGACAATGCACACAATGCACCTTTAAGTACCATAATTTCCTACAAAACTGCTAAACCTGTAGTCCTAAAGTTCTGAAATGTTTGTTAGTTCATACTTGAGTCTTTTTGTTGATTCTTCAGGAACAGAGCCTATTTTTTAAAGTGCATGTGACCTGTTTAAACTGTCAGAAAAGTGCCTTCCTTGTGTCTAAATTGTCTCTGCATTTTGAATGGAACTGATGACGTATTGACATAGGTAGAGGTATTATGTTTAAAAACTTCCTCTATATCCAAACTTTTTTTCTACTTTTCTTTACAAATGATCTTGACTGATGTAAAAGTATGATAAATATTATTGTGTTCTGTACCACTAAACTAAGTAATAATTTGAAATATGCATTAATCTGACAAATGCACTTCATAAAATGTTCATCTAATTGCAATTCCAAATTATTTAACCCTAAATATTCATTTTTTCCTTTTCTTTTTCTAGGCAGCTCCACTCCACCACTAACCTCATTCTGCTGTCACTGGCTGTCTCGGACTTTCTTGTTGGCCTCGTGGTCATACCAATTTTAGCTACAATGTGGAAAGTCTGTTGGTACTCTGGTGAACTTTTATGCGGTCTTGTCTACCTTGTGCCTTCTACAGCGATCATGGCTTCAGTTGGAACTGTGGTGCTCATTTCAGTGGACCGTTATGTGGCAATTTGTGATCCTTTGCATTACCCGACTAGAATGACAGAAAAGGTTGTCGGTGTTAGTATTTCTGTGTGTTGGATCTACGCTTTTTTTTATGCAATTTCAGTTTATATTGACAATGTTATAAATCAAGATAAGTACAGACTTTGCTATGGACAGTGTATGGTTCACATGGCGAGAGATGCAAATTTTATTTTGGCCTTTGTCATCCCAGTTACCACCATTGTATGTTTATATATGAAAGTTTTTATAATGGCTGCGTCACAGGCGCGGGCCATACGTTCTAACGCTACAGCTGTAATATCCAAAACTTCCAGAAAATCTGAAATTAAAGCTGCCAGGAATTTGGGTATCCTTGTACTGGTGTATCTGATGTGCTACTCGCCGTATTATTTTGTAGCCTATTCAGAGGCCAATATATTGATATTTGGTGTTCCCATTGAACTTGTATCTATTTACCTATACTTTTTGAATTCCTGTATTAACCCGCTCATGTATGCCATGCTCTATCCCTGGTTTAGAAAAGCCATCAAACTCATAGTCACACTGCAGATATTGAAACATGGATCGTGTGATTTGACAATTCTGTAATCTGTCATCATTTATTTGTAGATATGATTAAAATCTTATCATTTAGCATGTTTTTGTTCATCTTCATTGTCATCTCTGCTGTCTCTCCTTAATAAAGATACGAAATGCTAACACTTTGTTATAACTTATTGAAATCTATTTAGTGTAGAGGATGTGCAATAAAAACCATGTTAGTGTTAACACGTGGTTTTCAGTGGACAGAGAATAAAGAGTCAATATTAACAGATAAATATTTCCTATGATGAAATTATATAGCTTGTATTTTTGTGTTTTATATCAAAGTCAGTAATTTCTCACACATTTGGATAGAGCTGTTTCCATTTATTCTAGTAATAAATTATTTGTCAAGTTTTGTCATTATTTGATCTACTTAAAACATCGTTAAATTAAAAACCATACTAAACATTCTATTGAAAAGAGAAGTATTCTGGCTCTGTGGGACCAATCAGTGGCAATGGAAGTATAGAGTGGAGTGTATATGTACTCTCCATCTGCAGTAAAGGTAGTATTTTATTCTATGGGCTATTAACTGCTAACACTTAAGTTCACCACGTTACCTTTTATTGTTCTGAATATGCTATATTTGCAGAAAACAAAGTAACAGTTTACAAAGAAAACAAAGCAGTAATAGTTTTTGATGGTATCAATCCCCCCTTCCTTTGCTGCCTGCACAAAGTCACTCCCCCTTCAGAGCGCTGTCACAACACAATCAGTGTGCATCCTGCTCATGAAACTACTGCACCTTCCATAAGGTTTGTCAAGTGAGCATGGATGATGTATGTAGGCTGAGCATTTGCACAAAATGTTGCAGCAAACTGGGCCCGAGAGAAATCGCAAAATTATTCAAGCACACATGGATGACATCTGAAACCTCTTCAGGCATGGTTTGGCGGAGGGAAAATTATAACACGCATAGTAGAAAGCTAAAAAAAAAAAATGATTGAACTGAACTTCAGAGGGGATGGTGATGGAGCTTTTCACCAGGGCTGCCCACACTTTTTCAGCGAGCTACACCCACAGTTTGAGAACCCCTTCTTTAAGAGATCTTCCTCTGGCACGTTACACAAAACTGTGAAAAATGTGAAGAAAGTGGGTATGATTTTTAAACCTGTTTTTTCAAGTTCCTAACTGGAGTTACATTCTCTTTTGCAGTGGTATTTAGCCTCTGCACATTTACCAAACCAAACACATCGTGACAAACACAGATGCATTTGTGAACTTTTTTTAGGCAAACTTCAACCACATGTCACAGTATGTCTGTTCTGTGCTGTAGGTCTGTTCTGTGCCAACACTGTAACATAAACTTAGATTAGTTTTTGCTTTGCATTTCATCTTGCTCTTCTAATCAGTGCGCATTGTGGAAGGAGCCTGTGCGCTTTACACAGAGGCAGGAGATAGAAAGAGAGCTCAGTCACACAGGAGGAGCTCGGAGTAGAGCCGCTGCAGAGAGGAGAGGCTGGCACTCTGGCACACATGAGGCACGCTGGAGGGCTGGCCTGGGAACGTCTCGGGATTCCCCCGGAAGAGCTAGAGGAAGTGTGTGTGGAGAGGCAAGTCTGGGAGGCCCTTCTCAGATTGCTGCCCCCACGAGCCGACCCCGGATAAGCGGAAAAAAATGGAATGGCTATTCTATGATTTTGCTCTTATTTTATTTTACTGATTTTATTATTTTAAGACTATTATGATTATTTTAGTAGTTTATTTTATCATTTTATTATTGTTGTCATTAGTATGTATTTGTTCAGCACTTTGGAAACTGTTTGTTTGTGAAATGTGCTATAGAAATAAAGTGGATTGGATTGGAAAACCTGAAACAGTCTGAACATGTGAGACAGGCCTCTACTTTGACTATATTTGAAACGGTTCTGTCTAGCTGTGCATATGACTGAACGTTTTTTTATTCCACACTCTTCTCTTTTACTGTAAATTTTTTGTTGATTATTTATATTTTGATTTGCTTCGTATTCTGAAAAGCACTTCAAATTACTGTGTGTACAAATTGTGCTTGCCGTATGTGAACACAAGACAACCAATGCTGTAAACCCCTTGGGATCGGATGCTGAGGTGGTCCCACTGAGGCCATAGGCAGTCGGGCATTAAAACAGAGCTCTACGACTCCAGTGCGTCTGATGATGGAGAGTGAGGAGGTCGGACTGTGCTTCCCTCACCTCCTCAACAGCTCGTGCAGAAGGGCCCAAAGTCACTCACCCGAGGCTGTGCTCATCTACACAGTGCTCTTCCTCCTCTCCCTGCTCACGGCCACACTCAACCTGCTCGTCATCGTCTCCATCGCACACTTCAGGTAGATATGATGCAAGAAACGTGTATGTAATGTGCTCTTATACTGGCTCTGGTATTGCATTCTGTTGTTGTCTAGCAAAATCCCATTACTCTCGCCTTACGCTGTGAAATTTGATGGAATTAAAAGGCGCGCTGTGTGATTTTTTTGATTGGGGGTCTGTCACGTCACTTTGTTATTTCTATGGATATGTCATTGCTCTGCTTGGAATGTTTCACGGCATGACATTAAACAGCTTTACTTTAGGTTTAGTTAGTTACAGGTGGTTTTATATCTCAAAAATACCTAGAAAAAGCAGGAGCAACTTTGCCTCTCCACAGATCTGACCTATAATTTGGTCTGGTTTGGTCACCGTGATGATCGAAAAGCTTTAAAATCATACTGTGAAACATTCCAGACAAAAGAATAATGTCTCTACGGAGAAAAGCATTTCACTGACCCTCCACCAGAAAAGTTACACAGTGCACCTTTAAATAATATGTAAGACTGTATATAAAACATGTATGTTGTTGATTTATTTATTTATTTTTGCTTTTACTTTTTTGTGCTTTTTTTTTCCAAAATTTTAACAAATATACATAAAGCAACAAACAATCTCTGGGGTTCTACAAAAAAAATTGAAAAATAAAATACCTTAAACATTGGAGTGAGCTTTGTAAATAGACCATTTTGACCGCCGCTTCTCAAATTTACCAGCTTTCAGTTTCAAATAAGCTCCATCACATACATTTCCTCCATTATATCTATCCATTGCTGTGATTTCAAAGAGTCATCCTTCAGCCAATTCCTTGTTACGACTTATGTATGCATAAATAATACTACTAGTGCATAAATAATTGACATTTTCTTGGGTTTGGGTTACATATTTCTTTAAAATTCCTTCTGCTCTCTTCCAGACAGCTCCACTCCGCCACTAACCTCATCCTCCTCTCACTGGCTGTCTCAGACTTCTTCATCGGCCTCGTGGTGGTCCCGGTGGAGACCTTTATGTGGAAAAGTTGCTGGCTTTTCGGAGACTTGCTGTGCCTCCTCTACTTCCTCCTCCCCATCACGTTAATCATATCGTCCATCATCAGCGTCGTTCTCATTTCAGTCGATCGCTACGTCGCCATCTGTCACCCCATGCACTACCACACCAGGATAACGATGAAACGCGTCCAAGTCACCGTCTGTGTTAGTTGGGTTTACTCGTTTTTCTTCGCCGTGGGCATACTTCACGAAAACTATTACAACTTAGGCGCGTACAAGTCCTGCCACGGCGAGTGTCTGATAACCATAGCTGTTGCTGCCGATCTTGTTTTGGGTTTTTTCATTCCTATTTCCATTATCGTTATCATGTATTTGCTGGTGTTTGTCGTGGCCGTGTCCCAAGCCAGAGCCATGCGTTCAAAAGTCGCAACAGTCACATTTCACAGCACGCAATCCAAGAAATCTGAAATTAAAGCGGCAAGAAACTTAGGCATTTTAGTCCTGGTTTACCTCATGTGTTACTCTCCGTACTGTGTGGTGCTCGCCGGGCAGCCTATTTTGGTTGGCATGTCTCTTGAAGTGATCATGATTTTTGTGATGTACGTGAACTCATGTTTAAATCCGCTTATTTATGCCCTGTTTTATCCCTGGTTTAGAAAAGCCACTAAAATCATAGTCACGTTAGAAATACTTAAACCCGGATCACGTGATTTTAAGATTATCTAGGATTTGTTTTTATTTGAGGGCCTCTAGCTGATTTTAAAGATTCCATATTAAGCAAAAATTTACTCTTGTGAGCTTTTGTTCATTATAATGTTACCTCCTCAAAAACAGACCTGGAGTTCTGTTTTGTTTCATTCACACAGTTTTGAGTAGCCTTTATTATTACTGTATTTTCTGGACTAAAAGTTGCTCCAGAGTATCAGTCGCACCAGCGAAAAAATGTGCAATGAAGAAGAAAAAACATATATAAGTCGCACTTTTGGGGGAAATGTATTTTATAAAATCAGAGACCAGGAATCATCTTGAAAGGCAAGTTATAGTAATAACAACAGAACAGAGAACAACAAACTGATGTTAACATGAACAGTTCTTCAGACAATTATAGCATAAACAACATAGCATAAGTTTACCAAACTCACGATCTCACTCGAAATCACTAAATCCATTGAATTCTTCATCCTCGGTGTCACTTCTGAACAACCACCCTTCCGAAGATAAACCACAGATTCATGATGTAAACAGAGCACCGCTTCCTCTTCTGTGTAGCTGTCGTCAGACTCAGCATCAGTTCCCATTAGAATTATTCTGGCTTTTCTGAATCCCGACAGGAAAGTTTCAGTGTCATTGAAGTTCAGGCTTTGTCCATCCATCCAGTGACATCCAGGAAAGTTGCATGGTGCTTCCTCCCGGTTCCCGTGAAGCTGTGTTCTCCATCCCCGCTTTCCGCCAGTCCCTCACAAGTTTCTCGCTCACTCCAAACTTTCTTTCTGCTGCTCGATTACTGTTTTCGGCTGCGGATTTCACTATTTGCAACAAGGCAGCGGGTTTTTCTACAGGAGGCATGCACAGTGGAGTGCGAAGTGACAGTGATACAGGAGTAATAGTAGTACTAGATACTGACACACAAGACTAGAGCCTCTCGCGGCTGTCAGTCTGAACATTTTAATATATAAATTGAAACACCCAAACCATGAAAAAAAGTGTGACTTCTAGTCCAAAAATATGGTAATCTGTCTACACCAAAGCTCAAAATCGTTCTGTTCCACCTTGTGATATCATGAAAGGGTAGTTTTCAAGTCAACAGCTCCTTTTACTTTTAGTTCAGTAGAGATGGGCAATTCTTGGGCTGAGAAATTTGTGGTTGAATATGTATGAATGAAACAAAACTCAACTCCAGGTCTGTTTGTGATGAGGAAACACCGTTATAACATAGATCAGAAAATAGCATAATATGGGTCAATTAATGTATTCTTGTCAAGATAAATGTTTTTTTAAAATAAGAGTTAAATAAGACAATTAAGTACATGGTAAAATATAATCTATACATTTTACATAGCATTTTCTCAGGTAATAACTAACACACAACACTGTCCAATCAGGCATCCTTTTACTAAGAAATATCAGAGACCAACTGCGTAACACTATCCCAGACTGTTGATTCTCTGCCATGGTGCAATTCAAGGTTGTCAAATAAGCAAATACTAGGCAGAGCTCAGAGAACTATGAGCAGAAAGGACTAAGTGGACGGGGCTAAAAGTTCAAACTAAAATATATTCCTGATTCATGTTGTGAAATCAGGTACAAGGCCTTTAACGTGGGGTTTTCAAAGTAAAATCTACATTCTACATTCACAGTTAGTAGAGTAGACATGAAATTGTAAAAAATTATAAGTGCTGCGATTCAAGTAAAAGTACAAAATAGTCCAAGAAATATCAAGTGAGAGTAATAAAGTGATTGAACATAGCTTGAACATAACATCTGCATAAAACGTGGAAAAAAAAAAAAACTTATCTGAAGGAGGAGAAATACAAAAAACACAAATATTCAAAAAAAATTTCAGAATAAAAGCTTTTGTCACTTGTAGACTCACTCAGTGGATAAAGTAACCAACCTTTAACTTCACAGTAGTGTGACTTTGATGCAAATATTACTCAAGGATGCGTATAAGGAAGGTCTTTGAAAACTACTCAGAGAAAAACACATTTATTCAAAAGTTACACAAGCAAATGTAGCACACGCCTCAGCACCAGAGAGAGAGCAGCAGGTCATGTTATGATCCTGAGGAAGAGCGACGCCCTGCTCTACATCAGTATGTACTACTATATGACTATATGACTATCTAATATTTGTCACTATCATTTACTTATTGTTGCTTAAAAAGATAATTTCTAGCCTGCTAAACTTTATGACCTATTTAGACTTAACTGCTGCCAAAACAACTGTTGAGCTCTTAAAAAAAAAAAAAGCCATATGGAACTTTAGAACTAGTAATTTAGTAACAAGGATTTAGGAGGTTTTGGAAAGCAACATGAGAATTTGTAATTTGTGTGAAAATAATTCTGAAGAAAATAAATTCCATGTTTTATTTTGACTATGAAGTTGATGTGATGTGATAAAAAAATATCTATAAATAATAATGCCCATAATGAAACTTGTAACAACTGAATACAAATATCCAGGGCAAAGGCTGCCCTCAGGTGGTGAAACAAGACACCTTAAGTATGTCTCACCTGGATGATATGCAAGAGTTGAATAAATGAAATAAAAGTTGCGCCTCACCCACAGACCACAGACATGTCAATCTTCAAACTGTAGGTTACTCCAGGGCATTCTCTCAGAGTAATATGATGACTGGATCAGATAGAACTGACTTTAGAGGCCTGGCAGGGTGCTTTACATTTGAGAAACAGTGGTGATGTGGAAGATGAGGATTCAATGATGGCCGTGTAGAACTGGCAGCTTGGCTCTCCTCTACTGAGCCTTCTTCTTGATGCTCCCACTTGAGGTCCTGGATGATGTTGGGGGTTAATCAGGGCGAAGGGGAGCAGATGCCTGTGACTTAGGGAGCAGCTCACCCAGTGGGTGTGCACTGTGACCCATCTGCAGCATTTTTGCAAAGGACACATTCACAATGTGTTTTAAGAACTTCAGCATTATATATCTGTGATCAAGATGCTTTTGACTCAGACATCAACAAAGAACAAAGAAATAAGGCTACATCTGATTTCTGGTCAGTTCAGCCATGTGTCCTTGGACAGTGTTTTACCCACACTTCACCAATATGTGGACTGTAAAACTCTAGACCTGCTGTATGCCAATTCTAAGGAGGCATGCAGGTGCCATTGTACGCCTTTCTGATTCTGTGGTCAGTAAAGTCCCCCAGGGTACAGTCCTGTCTCCTTTTCTGTTCACTCTGTACACCTCTGATTTCCAGTACAGCTCCAGGTCCTGCAGCCTGCAGAAGTTCTCTGATGACTCTGCAGTGGTTGGGTGCATCAGAGATGGTCGGGAGCTGGCGAACAGGACACTGATTGTAAACTTTGTGGAATGGTCCCAGGTATCTTACTTACATACTGTGTCCAAGTAATTTCCCTTGTGGATCAGTAAAGTTTGTCTAAGCTTAAGTTTAATTCTTGACCTGAATCGGCCCTTTAGAATATTATGTCATGACATGAACCCGACCTATAGGGACTCATGCGCAGTAAACATCCATATAAAATAGATTTGGGTGGTGCCAGGCTGCAGGAGGATGGAGAGTGCGGCAGAAGAGGAGCTGTGTTTCCCACACCTGAACAGCTCATGCAGGAGGCCCAATGCTCACTCCCAGAGCCAGACGGACATCATCTACACTCTACTGTACATCACCGCTCTGGTCACCACCGTGCTCAACCTGCTCGTCATCATTGCCATCTCACACTTCAGGCATGGGACCAGACTTAAACTGAGAATTTAATTGCAACTGAAATGATTTGCAATTAAAAGTTGGATATTTTTTCTGCCTTCCATGAGGCAATCAAGAACAAACCTTCTCTGAAATTAAAGGGACCATATTATGCTAAATTCTAATCAACATTGTCACGTTATTTTCTCATAAAAGCATACCTGGAGTTGTGTTTTGTTTCATGTACAATGTGTAACTCACACACTTACCCTTTAACTGTAGCAGCAGTTGCAGTGCAATCGCTTCCTGCTTGAATAACCGTTTGATATACTGTCTGTTGTTGGCTATGAGCTGTGTACTTCTTGATGCTTGAAAATTATACGACAAAAGACTTTGGAGAAAACCTGTTACACTGATTGAATGCTTCTGATGAGTTTCAAACACTGACAACATTTATGTAAAAATAAATCTTTTTTACAGTTAGACCATCATGCTTGTTTTTAAGAAATTCCAATTTAATCTTTTTGCCATTTGTTAAAGCCACAGTCTCCAACTTTTTAGTCTAAAAGAGACTAAAATAAAGCAGCTTAATTGCAGTGTTAATTGCATTGAAAAACATAGAAAATCCATCCTTAGTGTGAGTGGGCTTGCATTTCTCTTATTTGACTCTAATTAGTCTAGAAGAGGGTTCCTTCTGCTTGTTTCCAGGAGAATGTTGTTCCACAGTATGGCATAAATTTGTGTTAATTTCCACGAAGAATGTTTGTATGTATGAGAGTATGTTTTAAACGTTCATTTCCATGCAGGTGACCCACCAATGGAATGAGACTTTTTGTTCTTAAAATATGAAAATACATCCTGCTACAGCTGCTATAAGAAACAAAATCTCTTATTGCTTGAATTAAAAACCGACTTTCCTTTCCATTGGTAGATCATTTTACTCGTCAAGTTGAATCTATTCACATAAATTAAATTTTAACTTACTTAGATATTGTTTTTTGCAGTGCATTTACCTTTGTTGTTTTTGCACAGGCAGCTCCACTCCTCCACCAACTTCATCCTCCTCTCTCTGGCCGTATCAGACTTCTTCGTGGGCATCGTGGTCTTCCCCGTGGAGAGCCTCATGTCCAGAACGTGTTGGACCCTGGGCGACGTCATGTGCGTGGTGTACCTCATCATTCCCATTACCTTGGTGTCTGCCTCCGTCGGAAACATGGTTCTCATTTCCGTGGACCGCTACGTAGCCATTTGCGACCCCATGCATTACCAAACCAGAATGACCGTAAAAATCGTCGGTATCAGCATCGGCGTCTGTTGGCTGGGCTCTCTTCTGTACAGCTTCTGTCTTATGTACGAGAACTTGGTGGAACCGGGCAGGCACACGTCTTGCCGTGGGGAATGTGTTATCAATGTTTCCGGAGAAGCCGATTTGGTTATAGTTTTTATCATTCCGGTTAGCGTCATCGTGGTGCTGTATTTGCGGGTTTTCGTGGTAGCCGTCACGCAAGCCCGATCCATGTGCCATCAAGTCAGCAATAAGCAGAACGTTGTCACCGTCACCGCGCGGAAATCGGAAATCAAAGCAGCCAGGAACTTGGGTGTGGTGATAGTGGTTTTTCTTATTTGCTACTCACCGTACTATTGCGTCTCTCTAACTGGAGGGAACCTTATGATTGGGTCGCCGACGGAAATGTTCATGAGCTTTTGGATGTACTGTAACTCGACTCTAAATCCAGTTATTTACGCTTTGTTTTATCCATGGTTTCGGAAAGCTATCAAACTCATCGTGACTCTGCAGATTTTGAAGACAGGGTCAAGTGATGCAAATGTTCTGTAATATTTTTGTGGGGATGTGTAAGAAGAATTAAATAAAGCCTATTCTCAGGGATTATTAATACTAACATTGTGAAATTATGTTTTTTTACTACAAACTGGAGACAAGCTTGCAACATTTCTGTTTCTGGTCAGATCTGTGGAGAGGCAAGCCCATATACAGAATGTATGCAAGGTATTAATTTAGCAATAAAAACACAATGAACTGAAAGTGCAAGCGTAATTTTCTACTGTTAAACATTACAGGCAATTATTCATATAATTTATTGCCAAAGTAGATGCCTGGTCCGGGAATTTCAGGCAGCTACTCCATTAGAAGAGCTAGACTGCGGACAGTTTATCTTGTGGTGTGATTTCATGCACATTCTTTCTTTGTTGGGTGCATTATTATGTCCTCTATAATTTTTATGTGTTTCATCTTTCACCCAGTTGGGGGCGCTAATGCGTTTTTTTTGTTTTTTTTTTTTTATATTAGGTTGTGCTTGTTTAAAAATTTTAATAAATGAAAATGTCAGTCATCATATAATTTTTGCACTGTTTTCCTTAGGACCTCTTGCATATAGCTAATATTTTTTATTACTTATTTTAGTGGCAGCCTGTTCATAATGGGCGATGGGGCGCCGCCCTCCCTATTAATCATGCAAATTTGTAAAACAATTTAACATAAAATTTTGAAATAGTCCTGCAATATTAGTCTTTAAATATTACACAAATGTTGACTATAAATAACATAACTCACAAGAAAATATATCTTAATCTGTTAGTTTTTTAATTTTCTGTGTTTCAAAGTACACAACTTGGGGGCTTGAGGGGATTTGAAAATACCTCATCAGCTCCATTCAAAGTCCATGAGCAAAATCTGACTAATCAAATCCTTGTATTTGAGCGTCTAATGCACAGGTGTCAAACATAAGGCCCGGGGGCCAGATCTGGCCCTCCAAGACCTTTAATGTGGCCCTTGGGTGATTTTCTACTAAAATATTTCAAATGTTGAAATTGAATTTTTCTTAAAGTTTCAGGTTGTTCATAATATTATAATATTTTGTAAAAGAAAGAGTTCATCAATTAAAAAAGATTTCTGTAATAGATTTGCGTTTCTCTGCACAAATATTTTAACTTATTGTTATTTTTGGGGTTTATATGACATGAGTTTTCTGATCTGGTCCCTTTGGGATCAAAGTAGGTTGGATACGGCCCCCGGACCAAAATGAGTTTGACACCCCTGGTCTAATGCATTTGAGTGGCGTGCGTGAGAGCGATCAGATCTACGGCCCTTAACCCAAAGCCCATAATGACCGTGTTATTACAGCGCAGCAACACATTACACCCTTTAGAATATTATGTCATGACATGAACCCGACCTATTGGGACTCATGCGCAGTAAACATCCATATAAAATAGATTTGGGTGGTGCCAGGCTGCAGGAGGATGGAGAGTGCGGCAGAAGAGGAGCTGTGTTTCCCACACCTGAACAGCTCGTGCAGGAGGCCCAGTGCTCACTCCCAGAGCCAGACGGACATCATCTACACCCTACTGTACATCACCGCTCTGGTCACCACCGTGCTCAACCTGCTCGTCATCATTGCCATCTCACACTTCAGGCATGGGACCAGACTTAAACTGAGAATTTAAGTGCAATTGAAATGATTTGCAATTATATGTTGGATATTTTTCTGTCTTCCACAAGGCAATCAAGAACAAATCGAAGGGGCTGTATTATACTAAATTCCATGCAATTACTTACCTACTTACCACTTGAATAACCCTGTGATATACTGTCTGTTGTAGGCTATGAGCTGTGTACTTCTAAAGTTTTAATGGTTAAAAAAATTAGACGACAGAAGACCAAATTTGTCTTAAATAACATACTTCATACCAAGACTTTCCTTTGTTTTAGTAAGCAACTGCCATTTCATCTGTTTGCTGTTTCTGAAAGCCAAAGTCTCAAACCTTTTAGTCTTTAAGAGAGAAAAAATAAACATATTTTGGTTGTGTTAAATGCACTGAAAAACATGCAAAAAAAATGCATCCTTACTGTGAGTCCATTCTTATTTGACTCTTTCTGCTTGTTTCCATGAGGATGTTGTTCCTTTAGCTATAACCTTCCACAGTATGGCATGAATGTGTATTTACTTCCACAGAGAGTGTTCTGTATGTTTTTAAATATGGTTTTAACCTTTAATCTTCATGCAGGTGGCAGTGTTTCAGTTCCAGTCACGTGCTCTACCTTTAAAAAGCAATAATGATCTGTTCTAAACAATAATCTGACCTTTAGGAAGTTACAACATAGTTACTTCTCCTCTTTTGTCCTATACTATGTCACACACTGCAAAGACTAAAATCTACCCAAGTTAAGATGACTTGAATTAAGAAAGTTTTATCATGATTTGAGTAAATTTCACTTGAAAAGTAAAACGATCTATCAATGGAGTGAGACATTTTGTACTTAAAATATGAAAATACATCTTGCTACACCCAAGATAATAAACAACTCTTTACACTTAAAATAAGAAACTAAATCTATTATTGCTTGAATTAAGAAAAACACCCTTTCCATTTCATTGGCAGATAATTTTACTCAAATAAAGTAAAATGTTCTTAATTTTAACTTACCTAGATACTGTTTTTTGCAGTGCATTTACCTTTGTTGTTTTTGCACAGGCAGCTCCACTCCTCCACCAACTTCATCCTCCTCTCTCTGGCCGTATCAGACTTCTTCGTGGGCATCGTGGTCTTCCCCGTGGAGAGCCTCATGTCCAGAACGTGTTGGACCCTGGGCGACGTCATGTGCGTGGTGTACTATATCATTCCCGTTACCTTGGTGTCTGCCTCCGTCGGAAACATGGTTCTCATTTCCGTGGACCGTTACGTAGCCATTTGCGACCCCATGCATTACCAAACCAGAATGACCGTAAAAATCGTCGGTATCAGCGTCGGCGTCTGTTGGCTGGGCTCTCTTCTGTACAGCTTCTGTCTTATGTACGAGAACTTGGTGGAACCGGGCAGGCACACGTCTTGCCGTGGAGAATGTGTTATCAATGTTTCCGGAGAAGCCGATTTGGTTATAGTTTTTATCATTCCGGTTAGCGTCATCGTGGTGCTGTATTTGCGGGTTTTCGTGGTAGCCGTCACGCAAGCCCGATCCATGCGTCATCAAGTCAGCAATAAGCAGAACATTGTCACCGTCACCGCGCGGAAATCTGAAATCAAAGCAGCCAGGAACTTGGGTGTGGTGATAGTGGTTTTTCTTATTTGCTACTCACCGTACTATTGCGTCTCTCTAACTGGAGGGAACCTTATGATTGGGTCACCAACAGAAATGTTAATGAGTTTTTGGATGTACTGTAACTCGACTCTAAATCCAGTTATTTACGCTTTGTTTTATCCATGGTTTCGGAAAGCGATCAAACTCATCGTGACTCTGCAGATTTTGAAGCCAGGGTCAAGTGATGCAAATGTTCTGTAATATTTTTCATATCTGGAGATGTGTAAGTGTCAACTCCTTTAATAAAGAATTATTTTCTATGAATGGAAAATGGAAGAAAAAAAAAAAGGCTGTTCCCACTAAAGTATAGTAGGAACACATTCTTTCTTTGTTGGATTGGATCATTTTTATGTGTGTTTCTTCTTTCAGGGGCGCTAATGCATTTATTTGAAATTTTTAGGCTGTGCTTGTATGTGGTTTTGTAAGGGGATGTGGTCATATATATTTTTAGCTCCTGTTGCCATGTTGCATCTGTGTGCCAAATATGGTTTGGCTATGCCAAAGTTTTGTCATGTCCCTTTTGCGAGAGCAGATATTTGGCTTGTTGCTATGGTAACACGATAGGAGATGGGTGTGCCAGTCATTGGCTTTTTTGTTCGAGATGGATATGTGTACAGAATTTTGTATGTCTAGGACAAATGAAATTTTGTTGTTTCGTATAATTTCTTCTTGATTCTCTTATAGCCTATCAATTTGTTCAAGGCAGGGTTTCCACCAGCGATTAGAGTTTGAGTGAAATATATATGTGATAGATTAATCTAAGAAAGTAAATGTACATATTGGAGAATCACTAACAATATTTAGGCAATTCTTTCACTAACTTTTTCAAAATTTACAAAAGTTTAGTTTAGTTTAGTTTATTAAGATCCCCATTAACTACTGAAACATCAGTAGCTATTCTTCCTGGGGTCTCCTCAAATTCATTACATAGAAATTGGAATCCAACACATAAACTTCACACACAGAGACACAGAGACAGAGACACAGACACAGACACACACACACACACAGACACACACACACACACACACACACACACACACACACACACACACACACACATGCACACATGCACACACACACACACACACAATAACAAGACATGAAAACTCAATGTATAGGAAAAATATTAAATAAAATATAAAAATAAACAATTACAGCAGATATCAATAATACATAAATAAACAAACTAATCACTGTGTAAAAAGGAACAGTTTTAACTTTTTTTGAAATAGCTTTTTGTTATTTTCAACCAACAAAAATTCTGGCAGTGCGTTCCATGCAACCATGACTCGATAACCAACAGTCCGCTGCATTTGTTTGGTTCTACACATAGGAAGCACACCACTTATATTCTGACTCTGACGAGTTTCGTAATTGTGGGTATCTGAGAAAAACACGAATTTGCTATAAATTATTTCTGGGATTTTAGTTAAAATTATATTTCTAATAAAAGTTAATAAATGATACTTGAGTCTGTATTTTACAGTCAGCCAGGCCAACTCATTGTGCATTAAGATTATATTAGTTCTGTATGGGCAGCTCAAAACAAGCCGGGCGGCTTTATTCTGAGCGACTCGTAACCTGTATAAGTTATTTTCACATGTGTTTGAACAAATGACCGATGCATAATCCATCTGAGAAAGAACTAATGACTGTACTAGATTTTTGATCGACCACTGTGGGAGATATTTTCTACAGTGTCTGATCATGCCCAGACTACGACCCATTTTCTTCAGTATGTGATCTATATGGTTGGTCCATGTTAATTTAGAGTCCACTATTACACCCAATAATTTTATTTCTTCAACTTGTTCAATTAAAATTGCTCCCAAATTTAAATGTAATTTAGGTCTATTTTAGGTAAGTTGTTCCTCCATAAACAGAGAAAGTCACGCCCACCAATGCGGCCATTTTGAAAATGTTTCCTCTGAGCCTGTTATTTACTGAAAACCATGGAAAGCCACTAGGGGGCGTCTGACAAGTATTTAATTGTAAACAACAGGTTTTTCAGGGAAACTATTGATTATGTGGTTGGGCAGAGGTCTCAGAATGTTGTGTATCAAATATGATACAAATGGCTTTAAAGAGTTAAACCATTCTGTCTTCATGGAGGTCAAACCAGACCAAATTACAGGTCAGAAATGATCAGATGTAACCCTGCTCACAGTCAGAATGAACAATGTAGGTACAGCATCTAAATGGGGATAAATAAAATCTCCAGATCCTCTATGAGAAAGGTTACATAGTGCAAATAAAATGTTCTTTTGCATAAATAAAGCTGTCCATGTCATCTGTATCAAGTAACACACTGAGCTCCTAAACTGTTACTTAATCAAATAAAATGAAACTAAATATGAGGCGGCACTCTGTCTGTACAAACATATGAACCATTTCTAAACACGAGTGTCTAAATATGTTTGTGCAGACAGAGTGTCGCCTCATATTTCGTTTCATTTTATCTGATATATATCAAATGTGTGTGTGTGTGTGTGTGTGTGTGTAAATTATACATTTATTTACATACATATATATTTTGCAGTCAAAAATAAACGCAAAATAATTTCATCAGCATACACTTTTTTTATCACAAGATTAACACTTTTTGTGAACAAGTTTTTTTACAAGCTGTGGCCTCTTCTTGGAGCATTTGAAAAACAACTGGATCTGACTGTAAATCAGAAGCAAAACAATTTGAACGAAACTGAGAAGTCCCGGTTGGAGGAGGTGGGCCAAAGCACGGCACGGTTGCTCATGTACACGCACATACACGACTTCACTATACAAGTCCTGTGTGTGCACTGATGTTACTCATACAAGGAAAACATTATATATATATATACATATATATAAATTCCGCTCCAAAACATGGCAAATCCGCGTTTACCTTCAGAAAGGACTGTGGATAGTGACAGATGTTTTGCAGCCACTCTCCTTCTGTTATTACTGCTCTGCGCTGTTATCCATAAACTAACACAGGAGTGCACTATGTAATAGATATTTCATGCCGCTGGACTTGTTTTCTCCACTAACAGCATTAGCTCTGCTGCTCGACATAAACAAACAGCGCCATGTGATGACGTTATCAGTTGTGCAGGTGTAAGTGTGGCCATAGAACCCTACGCAATCCTGCTTTAGCACAGCTCGGGTCAAAAATCCCATTGTGAGTGCGCCCTTAGTACAGCAGTCATGCTAACTGGAGATTACTGGACATCTCTCAGTAATGAGAACTACCTCAGGGTCGCAGCACAGTATTTCACCCCACAGTGGGAACTTCATGCTTTGGCTCTTATGGGCCCGGTCAAGCAGAAGTATACATCCATCCATCCATTTTCTTCCGCTTATCCGGGGCCGGGTCGCGGGGGCAGCAGTCTAAGCAGGGACTCCCAGACTTCCTTCACCCCAGACACGTCCTCCAGCTCCTCCGGGGGAAGCAGAAGTATACAGCAAGGCCAAAAATTCAAGTTAATGTATCTGATATAAAAATGTATTAAACAGACAGCATATGTACTCTAGTTTGTAAAACTGTTTACCTTTTTTCTGTACTATTTTTGGTTCTAAAGTTACATACATTTTAAACAGACCATGTATGAAACATGAAACAAAAATTATTTCCCAAATTATTATTATTATTATTTCAGAGAGTGGAACATCGAACACAAAGTTGTCTCACTGACAATTGTTACGGTACCGCAATAAAAAAATAAAATAAAAATTACAAAGCAAGCAGGGTACAAAAGAGACAAAAATGTGTTTAATGATAATCAAGATTAAATATTTAAAATGGGCGACACTCTGCACAAACATGTGAACCATGTCTAAACATGTTTGTGCAGACTGAGTGTCGCCTCATATTTAGATAGGAAGTTGTGGGAGGTATATATATATATATATATATATATATATATATATATATATATATATATATATATATATATATATATATATATTAGTGCTGTCATGCGATTAAAAAAAATGAGAGATTAATTAATTATGATCTGTAATTAATTAATCCAATTAATCTCATTTTAATCTCACCTAAAAATTGCTGAGAAAAGCTTCAATTTGAGGTATTTTCATTTAAATTCATTATTACATTATTGTGGCAGATCAAAAAGACTGATATAGATTTAAAAAAGTGACTTTATAAAGTCATTTATTGTTTAACAAATCTCTCCAAATTGGCTGTTGAGCCCAAGTCTCCATGAATAAGAAACTGTTTGCTGTAAAGTAGCAAAGACGAGGAAATCTGAACATAATAACTTTTGTCTACTTAAAGACAATAAAAAGTCCAGTCTTTCCTTAACCATATTAAAAATATTATTGATAGAGAAATGCTTTATATATGTTTAGATCTACTGTTAGTTTTAGTCCTGGTTTTAGTCCTGGTTTAGTCCTGGTTTAGTCCTGGTTTAGTTTAGTTCCTGGTTTAGACCTGGTTTAGTCCTGGTTAGACCTGGTTTTAGTCTTGGTGTTAGTTCTGGTTTAGAGGCGCACAGGAGGAAGCTGCGGTTTACGCCGCGTACGCGAGAAAACACGATCCACACGCGGCTCACGGGAGCACGTCGGTGTCCGCGCAGTGTCTACGGAAGGAAACGTGGTCCGCGCGTTCTCAGGGTAATGACGATGATGAAGGTGTGTGTTTGTTTGTGTGTGTTGTGTTTGTGTTGTGTTTGTGTGTGTGTTGTGTTTGTGTGTGTTTGTTTGTGTGTGTTTGTGTGCGTTTGTGTTTGTGTGTGTGTTGTGTGCGTGTGTGTGTGTTTGTGTGCGTGTCCCCTCATGTGGCAGGTCACTATAGGACAGTAGTGCAGACATCATGAGCCTATGCAGGTTGTTTTCAGGCGATATTATATTTGTTATTTTCTTTTATATTTCACATCGGGAGAATAATTTCCAAGACACGAATGTGTTTTTACCTGTGCACTGCTGCCTCTGTTCTACTGGCTCTTCGACCTCGTCCATTGTGCGACTGACGCCGCCAACGTTAACATGACGTTTACTTACGCTGTTACTGCTCGCGTTTTGTGTGGGTTTCCGGCAATGAGTGGAATTACCGAAATAAAAAAATGTATAAATGTGTTTTGTGTGTGTGTGTGTTGTTGTCCCAACAACACATAAAAACAGGTTTTATAATAAAGAAACTCACATACAGAAACACTAAAGTTAGAGATTAAAAATGAGATTAACGCGATTAAAAAACATAACGCACTAAATATGACTGTAATTAATTAATCGCAATTAACGCGATAATTTGACACCCCTAATATATATATATATATATATATATATATATATATATATATATATATATATATATATATATACACACATCACAATATTCCTCACCTTTCACAGTGGTAGGTCTCTCTCACCCTCATTAAGCTCGAGTCCAGCCTGGGAGCTAGAGAGTTCTGCACAGTATGTTTGCTGTTCCTAGTATTGCACTTTTCTGGACTGAGATGTCTGATGGTGGGTAAGGTAACCCCCTCGATTTGGAGTTGCCTTCCAAGTGTTCTCCAGCTGTTCCTTGAGCCCCTGGTATTTCTCTAGTTTTTCATGTTCCTTTTTCTTGATGTTACCATTGCTTGGTTCACCACAATGTCCACCACCACGATTTTGTTCTGTTGCTTTTGACTGTTGCAGTTGACCGATGGCCTCAGTAGGTGAGTTTCCAGTGTAGTAGACGACTATTTGGAACAATTTTGAAGCAGCAATCTAAGTATAGCTTAAGGCATTGTTACAAGAATGTTTTCTGTTATAGCTGAATAGACTGCCCTTTATTATCTTTGACATCAGGTGTGACCAGAGTAAATGAAAAGGAATCTGGGTGTTCCTGAAGTCAAACAGTGATGGGAAACCTGCACACAGATCACAGTAAAGATAGAAGGATGCACTTAGGAGTATAAAAGAAGAGAGTGTGGTCCAAAACAGTACCTCAGACTGAACTAGCCAGTTCTCCACTCAGAAAGGTGAGCATCTTCTTGTTCCTCACAGCTCTCTACCACAGTCATCTGATAATGAACATTTGGTATAATTAATGTTTTTATAATAAAGTTGATTTTTATGATCTACAGGGAGCCTGAGTTTTATCTTCTGCATCGTCGGTATGAAGCTGCTGGTTTTGTGTGCGCTCATTGGGGCTGCAGTGGCCGCTACTACAAGTGAGTTTAAAGGAATTGTTTATAAGATTTACATTTTAAATTCCGTAAACACAATCTAATTGTGTCCCCAGAGATGAGTTAAACATGTCTGAGTCAAATATAGCTTTTCCTACTATTGCTATTCTTATGCTGATTCACTCTTAATTAGAAAAAACATTGGACATAATGTCAAAGTTGTTACAGTTTGGTGTGGTTGCTTCTCAAGACGATTATCCAATCAGAAAGAATTTGAGTTTCATTTGGGTCTCCATTTTCAATGCTGAAATCCAGTTTGCTTAAAGAACACATATTGTGCTCGAGCCGGCTTTATAGTTCTAATCCATGACACACATGGATCATCAGGTTATAATTTGCAAAGGTGCAATATTCATCTAAAATAACTTAATAAAAAATCAAGCTCGAGTGAATCACTCCAAATACAACATCAACTATAACATGGTTAAAGGCTCTGAAAAGTCGATTTTGCATAATAGGTCTGCTGTGAGTGCTAGTGCAGCCTCTGCTGCTCAAGGTGTGATTTCTGAAGGTTCTGAACTTTCACATGAGGCCAGTCCATAAACTGAGAATGAGAAAAGCTTGTATGTGTCTCTATCTGCAGGTTAAGGCACTGATGACCCAGGTTCAGTTGTAATTGTGGTTACATACAAAGAAATGTTCAAATATAATGTGTAATTATAATATTTTCACTTTGGGGTTTAATGTTTTTGTCTCAGCACCATGGCAAGGTGAGACTGAACTTACTCAAGGTGAGTACCCATCCAAAAACATGGGATGTCTTTGTCATTTAAATTTAACAATACCATGAATAAAATTCATTCATGTGTGACTAAACTTGCTAAGAAGTAAATAATCAAATAATTAAAGCAAAATTTGTGCTCGGGTACAGGCTCTCATGATTTTCAAACTGAAATGTCAGAGTGCAGCAATTCAGGACGCTACCTTTACTTCAAGGATGCCAAACATTGGGCTGATGCTCAGGTAACACAAGTTACACATTTTTGTGTAGTAAAGATTGCGTACATATTAATATACACTACCAGTAAAGACAGGACACACCTTTATGTTTACTACTTTCCTCAAATATATGACGCAATATGTAAAAAAAAAAGAGGCACGTCATTTGGGCTCTTATTTGTTGTCTTGTTTTAATTTAATTTATTTTTTTTTTTACCAACAACTCAAAAATGTTTGTTTATTCTTGTCTTTTTTTTCTTAGCAGCAACAGCTAACATTTTTATTTATACTTATTATTTTTTTTGACATGGCTGATAAAAAATAAAAAAATAACGCTGCACTGCCTCTCTGGCTTTAGTGGGACTGGGGTGCACCCTGACATGGAGAGCGAATGGACTGTTGGCTGGCTCTGCTGCTTGCCAATGGGAGCAGACATTTTGCGTGTTGTCGTCGCAATGGGATTTGTGAGGATGTTTGTGTTATTAGACCATCCACAAGCGACTTTTGGAGCTGTGCTTAGCTGCTCCTGTCCAACACAAGAGTGAGGTACGCACCAAGCAAATATGCATGGCAAGAGGAGCTCATGGGGATTTGGGGACAAACATGCAGCATATACTTTCATCTAACATCCAGCAGCTTGATGTTATCTGAACAAGAAGTTCAGGGGTTTTGATCTGGGTGACTATTTCCTATAAGACATTGATTCTATGTATTTTGATGGTGACACTCACCAGCTCATCAGGGCGTGCCTGTGGGAGACTTGATGCCACAGTGCCCTGCTTAGTATCAGACTCACTAACTATACATCTCTGAGACTCGGTCCTGTCTATCTCCTAGCAACTGATGTTCCATTTGTTGTTTTTCCTCGGCTTCTTCACCTGATGTCCACTCTTCATCACTGTGTTGTCCTTCCTGGGTTTCTCCACCTGCACTGTACTCTGGTTCCCTTTGTTGCCCGGTTTCTTCATCTAAAGTGTTGAGGTCACTGCCAGTTAAGTGAGAACATAACTCCTTTTTAGCCAATTTGGCTTGATCATGAATTTCCCTACAGTCTCATCATGGGGCATTTCATAGTTTTTTAAAATCACAGACTTCAGAAGAAGTGGACTTGGAAAAAGTCCTTTCCCAGTCTAAGAATGTTAGTGTATTTGGCATTTCTGGAGATGGCAAGTCTACATGTGCCACCTCCATTTATTGCTCTTAAACATTTTTGACATGTGAAGCCAGGGGCGGACTGGGACCAAACAAAGGCCCTCAGTCTATCACTTTCAATCAAATCAATAGTGACATAATTGAAGAAAACACACAAAGATTAACTACGTCTGATGTGTATTAACACAAGCACCTAAATCACTGAAATGCTGTAAGGGGCTGCAATCAGTGCAGTGGGAGTAGATGTTTCCTCAACAGGTCACTGCTTTCTGCCACCTTGTCAATCACACACTCAGTGTCCAGGCACATGAGGACATCCTTTTCTATCACCATTAGCATGAACACCTCCAGATGTTTCTGTGAATTCTTGCTCCTCAACCAATTGATATATTTTAGGATTGAGAAACTTGTTTCAAAGGCCACTTGTGTCACATGCAGAGTAAGAAGGAACTGATATCCTAACCTAAGGATGTGGTAGGCATCCATTAACAGGCTGTACCTTGTTAGAATCTGGTAGCAACATGTGGGGTACTCTTTACAGGATTTGCACATGTTGTTTTTAATCTCTGCCTCCTCCACCACCTCTGGGTCATCTTCTACCCTCCTCACTGTGTACTGCTCAAGCACAGACTATTTAAGGTGTGGCTACTGGGCAGCCAGGCTCTTCAGCTCACTTTGTAAATTAGCTGTAGTGGCCCTGTTTTCGAAATTGAGCAAGCATTTGCTTAGCTCCATCAGTGCAGGGTCAGGCAATCCTGAAAAAATAAATGGGTCAAGAAGAGCCAAGTCTGCATAGAGAGCACCATGAGTTAAAAGCAATCGTGGATGCTCTCTGTAACAGTATCCATGATCTGATTATTTACATTTGCTTCATAGGCAATGCTGGCATTTGTGAAAACTTCATCACTTGCCACTTCACAAGCCATCATCGTCTTCTTTCTAGTTCTTTTCTCTGGAACGCATTTTGGCCACTTCAGGGTCACATTTCTCTTCAGTCAGTTTTTCATTTGCAAACTGAACAAAACAATCTTTAGCTTGCATCACTGACTTAAAATCTCTTGCTATGTTCCTCAGTGATTCTTCAGTGGTCAAAACCATTCAGTGAGCTGACCATGTATGTGACAAACCATGGGTCTGTAAGTATTTTGAGGTGGGGTGACTTCAAAAATTCTAAGGAAAAGCTGTATAGTCCGAACAGTCTTGTACCTTATCAGTGTCTCCAAATACGCCCTTGCTTTGAAATGCATTGCTTTCAGCGTCCTTTTCTTCAATCATTTCCAGTGTCCTGAGGACATCAATGTAAACACACTGCTCTGGCTTCCCAAAGGACCCAAACATCTTCTTCAAGGCACCATCTTTAGCCCACCATAGTGTCTCTCCAATAATGGAGAGGTGTCTGTGTTGACTATCCTGCACACACATTCATCCATTGAGCAATATCATTCATTAAGGAGAAGAAGGTTCCACTAGAAAAGGACACTTCAGTTGTGTCAGCCAGAACTGTTTAACACTTGTGCATAACAACACACATGCACTTGATTTGGTGCTTTTAAAGAAAGCAGTGTGACAAACTGGAATGTGGAACTCGCATCGTATCAAAACACAGTCAAAACACCCCAAATGGGTGCCCTACTATCCTTTACAGAACACCACATCTGTATGGCGATGAAGACTTCCTGGTGCCTTGCAGGGAGGTGTACATTGCAAACTGTGCTGAAGAAAGCCATGAGCAGGTTACCTGTGTGATGAGACTGAGTCTTTGAGTTGTCCTGCATGTTGATGGCAGAAAATGAGCAGCAGCAACCAAGAAACATCAAGGGAGGAAAGGAAGGCTATGTGAATTTGAGGGAGGAAATTATTAAACAGCTTTGAGTGATGAAAAGTGGAGAAGCCAAGTGCAGACAACAAAGGGTTGGTTGTAAATGAGATATTTACAATGGCAACTAATCAAATTTTACAGATTCAGCACAATACATGCAATTCAGAAATCTCTCGGCGAGCTACTGTGAAGAGGATGAACAGATACTGGTAGCTCCTGACCTAGAACTTGGAGACCTCTGTGTTAGGTGCTTCTCCAACAATGGCAGCAGCAATCCTGAGTTTATTCGCTATGATATAGTAATTATTGTTCTTGTCACAATACTAATACCACCACACACATACAGTTACACACATGCAACCAGAACTTCGCTTAGAGCATCTTAACCAACACACTCTCCTTTGATTTCGACATAGCATAGATTGCTGGGTTTCAGGTGACATCACAAGATTCTATAGTAGAGGTTTGCATGAGACTGAAGTCCAGATTTAGTCCTTGTTCAGAGATGATTCCATTGTGGTATAAGCTCCGTTGTTGAGTTATTTGTGGCTACACTGTGGCGTAGCACGACCCTCCTCTTGTGCCTGGTCCACTCAGGGCTACAGAGCGCACACTCTGTTTAGTGCTTGATGTTGGATGAAAGTATATGCTGCATGTTTGTCCCCAAAGCCCCATGAGCTCCTCTTGTCATGCATGTTTGCTTGGAGTGTACATCACTCTCGTGCTGGACAGGAGCAGTTACGCACAGCTCCAAAAGTCGCTTGTGAATGTTGTAATAGCACAATTATCCACACATATCCCACTGCAAAAATGACGTGCAAAATGTCTGCCCCCCCATGGTGAGCAGCAGCGCCAGCCAACAGTCCGGGAAACCTGCTGCTAAAGCTAGAGAGGCAGTATGGCGTTCTGTCCTCCAGCCCGGAGCAGTGATTCCCGCTCTGGCTCTCACTGCTCGGTTTCAGATTGGGGTCCACGATCTCAAGCTGTCTACATCACCTGCCCGTGCCTTTGTCTTGCACAGCACCCGGTGCCTGGGCAGTGGGTCAAAACATGAGCAAAAACCAAAAAACAACCCATCTATCTGTCAATCCCTTTACGCGATAGTGCAGTGCTTTGCCACATGAGCTAAACAGGAGAATATCAACAAAATACAATAGCACAATTAAAGTACATTAGAAAAATAGCGTCTTATGCCTGCATTGTAATCAGTGATGCATCAGTCTTACTTCTCATATAACTCATAAAGGGAACACAAAAAGTAAAACTGATGAAAAGACTGGTGGTTTCGTATACAGTTGGAGCAGTTGAGTCTTAAACCCCTTCATTTTGTAACTCACTGCCTACACTGGAGCAGTGAGTTAGAACATGAGGGATTGGAGCAATAATAGTTTTTGTTTGTTTGTTTTTTATTTGTTTGTTTTAATCAGTCACACCAAAGGTAAAAAAATAAAAATGAAAAAATAAACTGCTGCAAAGAATAAAACATTTTTGAGTTAGAATACAGGGCCCAAACGACGTGCCTATTTTTTTTATATTTATTTTTTTTTTCGCTTACCACTCAGTGCCTCCATAGATTAGGCAGCAAAGCAAGATTTGTTTTAATATTAACATTCAAAATCTTTGCTTTGTCCCGTGGCAGAAGGCTTACTGAGCTTCATGATAAAGCCCCTTGAAACTGTTTTAACTTACCAGCTGTGCCGTGTCATGAATGAACTGTATGTAAAGTGAGTGTGCTGGTGTTATGTACTTTTGTGTGATTGCTGCTGTACTTTTCCCTGTGCTGTAGATGATTTAACATCACATTGGCCACGTTGGCTATAATCTTTACATATTATTTACATTTTAAATATTCATTGATATGTGCTGTCCCTTTACAAATAATTCATAAGAAAGAAATTTAACGTAATGTCTCTTTTATACAGCTGCACTGTCAGACTCTGGGAGGAACTCTGGCCGTGATTCACACATCCCAAGAGAACGATTTACTGAAGAATCTTGCTAAGGGAATGCCTGCATGGATTGGATTCTCTGATGCACAACATGTTTGTCACTTTAACTTTAGCAACGTTGATTATAGATGTCACATTCTACAAAATAATAATCAAATCTGCTTTAGGAAGGGATTTGGCTCTGGATAAACGGTGACCGGTTGAGCTATACTGACTGGTGCTATGCAGAACCTGACAATGTGGGTGGGAAACAGGACTGCGCTATCATCAATTCGACAGGTCAGACACCATCAGAAATAAACACTAATGTTAAATTGATACTCTGCAGCTGATGACGTCAACATTCCTGCTGAACATTCCCTCGTAGACATACCGCATTTTCCGCACCATAGGGCGTACTCATAAGCCTCCAACCCCATCAAAAAACGACTGTGCGCCCCGCAATCCAGAGCGAATCCACTCGGGTGTCCCAGCACGACTTTGGTAAACTACAAAGCCGCACCACCCGCAGAGCACAAAAACACACACGGAGCAGACAACGAACACCCACAGACACACTCATCACTCCACGCGGACGAGGAACGGAACAGAGGAACCGAACCAAAAAAAATAGTGTTTTAGTCCCGGTTTAGTCCTGTTTAAGTCGTGGTTTTAGACCTGGTTTAGATCTAGTTTATATCTAGTTTAGACCTGCTTTTTAGTCCTGTTTTAGACCTGGTTTAGTCCTGGTTTTAGACCTGGTTTAGACCTGGTTTAGTCCTGTTTTAGACCTGGTTTAGTCCTGGTTTTTAGACCTGGTTTAGACCTGGTTTAGTCCTGGTTTTAGACCTGGTTTAGTCCTGGTTTTAGACCTGGTTTAGACCTAGTTTAGTCCTGGTTTTAGACCTGGTTTAGACCTGGTTTAGTCCTGGTTTTAGACCTGGTTTAGACCTGCTTTTAGTCTGTTTTAGATGGTTTAGTCCTGGTTTTAGACCTGGTTTAGACCTGGTTTAGACCTGGTTTAGTCCTGGTTTTAGACCTGGTTTAGTCCTGGTTTTAGACCTGGTTTTAGACTGGTTTAGACCTGGTTTAGTCCTGGTTTTTAGACCTGGTTTAGACCTGGTTTTAGACCTGGTTTTAGACCTGGTTTAGACCTGGTTTAGATCTAGTTTATATCTAGTCTAGACCTGCTTTTAGTCCTGTTTTAGACCTGGTTTAGACCTGGTTTTAGACCTGGTTTTAGACCTGGTTTAGACCTGGTTTAGTCCTGGTTTAGACCTGGTTTAGTCCTGGTTTTAGATCTGGTTTATACCTGGTTTAGACCTGGTTTAGATCTAGTTTAGATCAGTTTAGACCTGCTTTTAGTCCTGTTTTAGTCCCGGTATAGTCCTGTTTAAGTCGTGGTTTAGACCTGGTTTAGACCTGGTTTAGACCTGGTTTAGTCCTGGTTTTAGACCTGGTTTAGTCCTGGTTTAGACCTGGTTTAGTCCTGGTTTAGTCCTGCTTTAGACCTGGTTTAGACCTGGTTTAGACCTGGTTTAGATCTAGTTTATATCTAGTTTAGACCTGCTTTTAGTCCTGGTTTAGACCTGGTATAGTCCTGGTTTTAGACCTGGTTTAGTCCTGGTTTTAGACCTGGTTTAGACCTGGTTTAGTCCTGGTTTTAGACCTGGTTTAGACCTGGTTTAGTCCTGGTTTTAGACCTGGTTTAGTCCTGGTTTAGACCTGGTTTGGACCTGGTTTAGACCTGGTTTAGATCTAGTTTAGATCTAGTTTAGACCTGCTTTTAGTCCTGTTTTAGTCCTGGTTTAGACCTGGTTTAGATCTAGTTTAGACTTGTTTTAGTCCTGTTTAAGTCATGGTTTTAGACCTGCTTTTAGTCCTGTTTTAGACCTGGTTTAGACCTGGTTTTAGACCTGGTTTAGTCCTGGTTTAGTCCTGGTTTTAGACCTGCTTTAGTCCTGGTTTAGACCTGGTTTATATCTAGTTTAGAACTGTTTTAGTCCTGTTTAAGTCGTGGTTTTAGACCTGCTTTTAGTCCTGTTTTAGACATGGTTTAGACCTGGTTTTAGACCTGGTTTAGTCTAGTTTAGACCTGGTTTTTGACCTGGTTTTAGACCTGGTTTAGTCCTGGTTTTAGACCTGGTTTAGTCCTGGTTTTAGACCTGGTTTAGTCCTGGTTTAGACCTGGTTTAGTCCTGTTTTAGACCTGGTTTAGAGCTTTTAGTCCTGTTTTAGACCTGGTTTAGTCCTGGTTTTAGACCTGTTTTAGTCCTGTTTTAGACCTGGTTTAGTCTGGTTTAGACCTGGTTTAGACCTGCTTTTAGTCCTGTTTTAGACCTGGTTTAGACCTGGCTGAGAAAAAAAAAAAAAAAAAAAAGGGATATAGCCCAAAATGTGAAAACAGGAAAATACTGCCGTGTTTCAACAAAGTAACTGTAATCCAATTACCACTCACTGAAACAGTAACTGTAACTGAATACAGTTACTCATAATTTGTACTCTGATTACATAACTCCGGTACATGTAATCTGTTACTCCCCAACACTCCCTACACGCCACAACTGAACAAAGCCCAGAGTCACCGTGAACGCGCCAAACAAAGTCCCACTGGCCCATCCCACTGTTGTGTTTCGTTTAACGCGCCTTATATTCCAGTGCGGTTTATAGGTGAAAAAAGTTCGCAAATAGACCATTCAATGACAGTGCGCCTTATAATCCAGAGCGTCCTATAGTGCGGAAAATACGGTACTTGCTTTACGCCAATGACAGTCACGTTCGCTGTAGCTGGTCTCAGACTCTTCAACAGTCTTCCTCTGGGTATTAGAAAAGTCCACTCTTTTAATGTTTTCAAATCTATGTTGAAAACGAATTTGTATGCACTGACTTTTAACACAAGCAGAGCAGGATTTGTATTGTATTGTATTGTATTGTATTGTATTGTATCAATTTTTGAACACTAATGCTAATGAGCTATGACTAGAAAAAAATAGACTCATTGGCTCTGGTGTTCTAAAATATAAAACTAGCATGAGCGTCAAATGTCTAGTTATCTTTGCTTTACCCTGTCAGACAGTTGTTGTATCATTGTGTTTAAGACATGTTTCTTCCTTAGGTAACAAGTGCTGGGATGACCAGGACTGCAAAACCGCTTTCCCTTTCATCTGTCAGATGAAGTAGCTTCGGAAACATAAACCCTGATTTAAACACAAAATCATCTCCATCAATTTTTCTTTTTCCTGCTGTGACTTAAAGGAGTGAGAGAGAGTCCCATGTGAGAGGAGGTCTGCTCAGAGCTCATACAGAGAACAAGGAATGGATTTTAAAGATGCTTTGACTTCACTTTTTTTATTGTGATTAAAACGCTAAGCAATAAAACATGATTGGTCATTTTTCTATAACCCTAGGATCTAGACCTTGACATTAATGAATATTTATTTGAATATCTTACAATGGTTTTAATACAGTTAGATCAATCAACCAATCAAACTTTATTTATAACGCGCTTTTCATACAAAAATGTAACACAAAGTGCTTTACAGTGATTAAAAACAATCCCATATTTCCATCCACCTACCCACTTACCCAACCCCCACACCTGCCCGATCCCACACAACCAAACAACCAGACACACACACACACACACACACGAGCATGCTAAAATACATAAAACATAGTAAAATGTGAGGCTGAATACAGGCGAACCAGATGAGAAAGCACCATCAGAGGAGCCGTCTACACCAGGAGCAGAGAGACGTCCACCACCACCAGGAACCACCAGGAGCCCACAGGACAGACCCCGGCAGCCACAGCCGACCTCCGCTCCTGATGCAGAGGCTCCTGTAGATCTAGATCTAAGCTGCTTCTGAGCTGCGTCTTTCTTCCATGGCCCTTAGAAGAAATATAAATGTTGGTAATTTAACAATAACTACACCAGTTAGTGGCCCTCGCACATGTTTCGTCCAGGTGTCCTCTGACTGACTTGCAACTACCCCAGCATGCCTTTCTCTTTTTCTGACAGTTGGCCAGGTCCTGTCCTACGGAAGCCGAGAGGGGTCACAACAAACGCAAACGCCGCAACAAATACAAATGCGACAACACAACAAAAAGCCACAACACACCAAAAAAAGCCACAACAGGAATGACCGCGGGACTCTATTTTAATGCAAACGCCGCAATAAATACAAACGCCGCAACACATTAAAAAGCCACAACACATCAAAAAGCAACGATTTGTTCAAAGTAACCTCAAAACTAGAACATGTAGACGTTCAAGTAAGTGAAGGTGCAAGTGCTACTCATCAGACTACCAAACCAAAAAGGAGGAAAAAGTTCTTCTGTCTAAGATCCTGGTGTTGTTTTGGGAGATCTGCTAAGGAGTAAGTGGTGAGGAGTCTGAGTGGTAGTGAGTAGTTTAGAGCTGTAGGGGGCAGCAGTTTCATGTTCAAAGTGTGTTTCAGCTCCAATAGTGGTTCACCTGTGTTGGTGAACCACTTCTTTTTTCTTTTTCTTTTTTGAACTTCACTGAAATTGTGTTCAGTAATTGAATAGAATTGTTAAAAGGGCTGTACCTAATTTTTACTGTCTTCAAAACATGAGAAACAACAAGTTTGTATTACGTGGTTTACTGAAGTCAAAAATTATTCCTAAGCCATGCACTTAGGAATGCATCACATTTCACAACTTTTAGATTTCTAAGCAGAGTTTTGATGTCACAGTAATGCAACAACTAGCATGCTAACAGCATAACAACCGCAGCTTCCTCATACTTGATAGAAATGGGGTAAAAACATTTTGCTCATCTACACAGATGCAAACCTGGATTCAGCCACTTTGGTAACTGATACCTTACATTATATGGGAATCAATACTTGTGATACTTTTCAAATCATATCGTGGGATTTTAACCAACTAAGAAGTGACAGCATGTGCAGTTCAGTGGACACAAGTAAGGCACTGCTGGATTGTGTGAAATGAGAAAATACTCCAAGAGAGAATGAACCATTTCATCACCGACTGAAACAACAGAGTGAAGTAAGAACAAGGCCTTTCCTGTTGTGTCCACCTGGCGCCCCCTGGAGGCTGCTGTGATGCTGCAGGACAGAGGAGGGACACTTTTGGCTCTTCCTCTCCTCAAACTGCCCTGACACAGGATCTGCTGACTCTGCCCAACCAGTCACCCTGTTAAACCGCACTGAGACCTTTGACTGAGACTGTCATAAATTAGTCAACCTTAAACCCATATCCCATGCAAGAAATATCATGATCGGGGTCACCTGTCCACAGATCTCACCTGTAACACGGCTCGGTAGTGACAAGGAAATTCTGAGGAAGGAAGACCAAATGAACTTTTTGTTTGTACGGTCTATTTGAAATCAATTTGTTTTGCTCCAGTGTAGATGTATAGTATTTAGGTCAAAACAAATCCGTGGCGTACTGTCTGCAACTAATTTTAAAGAGTTTTATCCTCAAAGAATCAGGAAGTGTGCTGTTAGCATTACTGTGACTGGCCCCTGAAAGTTGTAAAAGTCATCACAGTGAGTAATTATTATACTCAGACTGAATAAGGTAAGTGAGGAAAACCTTTGGACCACTGCAAATCATTTAAAACAAACTAGTTCTTGTAAGTATCTTTTATGGTGAACTGTGTAACTTTTCTGGTGAAGGGTCCGCCACCTGCTTGTTTTCATAGGTATGTTAGTGCTTTGTCTTGATTATTTCACAGGATGGAAATATACTTGGCTATCACAATTGAGACAGGTTAATGGTCTATGGAGAAGCAAGCCTGCACACAGTAAAAATACATGTTTTTCAACTCCTGAAATTGAATAAACTCAAGGCAGATACACAACCGGTCAAGAGTTTTAGAACGTTTGACCGGTGGGGGATTTAGACCTGTTTTAGACCTGTTTTAAACCCTGTTTTAGACCAGTTTTAGTCCTGTTTTAGACCTTGTTTAGACCTGATTTATTCCTGGTTTAGACCTTGTTTAGACCTGACTTAGTTGTGGTATTAGACTTGTTTTAGTCCTGTTTTAGTCCTGTTTAAAATCTTGTTTAGACCTGGTTTAGACCTGTTTTAAACCCTGTTTTAGTCCTGGTTTTAGACCTGTTTTAAACCCTGTTTTACACCTGTTTTAGTCCTGTTTTAGACCTGGGTTTAGACCTGGTTGAGACCTGGTTTAGACCTTGTTTAGACCTAGTTTAGTCCTGGTATAGTTCTGGTTTAGACCTGGTTTAGATCTGGTTTAGTACTGGTTTTAGTTCTGGTTTAGTCTTGGTTTTAGTTCTGGTTTAGTCCTGGTTTTAGTTCTGGTTTAGTCTTGGTTTTAGTTCTGGTTTAGTCCTGGTTTTAGTTCTGGTTTAGTCCTGGTTTTAGTTCTGGTTTAGTCCTGGTTTTAGTTCTGGTTTAGTCCTGGTTTTAGTTCTGGTTTAGTCCTGGTTTAGAGGTGCGGCTCGTGCAGCGTATGGGACGGGGAACCGATACGGGTTCAGAGTATAGAGGTTTTTGGTGGGGGCTCTGTCACCTGCTTTTTCTCCATGTTACATATTATTATTGCAAAGCAGATACGTTTAATGCCCTGCTGTGGAACATTCCATGCAAAGACATAACATCTCCATGGAGGTAGCAGACTCTCCACCTTAGAAGTTACATAGTGCACCTTTAAATTTGTGAGCCAAAACTGTTCAGTGAACTTCACCAAAGTTCCTCAAATTGGATGAGTCAGCAAAATCGTGCACAAACTGAAGTTGCAAAGTAGTTTCTGGTTTTTCCAATGATGTAAGTCCCTTGGAGCATCCAGTGTCCATCTGGGAGCGGTGCAGAGGTGGAGATAAAGGGGACATAAAGAGTCGGCGTGATGTCACGGTCCCATCTCCTTCCAAAATGTCCACCCTCTACAGTGGCGCTTACTTGTGCTTCCCCGAGCTGGGCAACCTGTCCTGCTACAAGGGGATACCAGCTTTGGGCTACTCCCTGTATCTCAGCGGGTTGTACTCTCTCGCCTTCTGCTCTGGCATCCTCAACCTCATGGTCATTGTTGCCATCAGTCATTTTCGGTAAGTAACGTGTTTGTGACGTGCAGGCCTGTCATGATAATTACTACATCAACTTCAGTATAAGGAAGCTGGAACAATATATTTTGAGCCTTAATATTTATCATATGTACAATTTCCTTGCAACACTGGGGAGATTTTTGGTTTTGGTTTAAATTTTCTGTTCATTCTGCTGTTTATGTGTGGGAGCTGTTGCCTTATAAATATACTATATACTTAATTATCCTGCTTTTAATATTATGGTTTATCGTTCTATTTCTCTGTGGTGCTTTAACATTTGTTATCATCACAGGCCTAGTCACTTATTTGTGCTGGATTTAAAAAGAAATTTACTACGTCCAGTCAGCGCGACTGTCTGTCCCAGCACCTGCTGTACTAGAGGTGCACTTACGCTGGGACTTTTGGGCTGTGCTGTGCTCAGACGCTGTTACCTGTGGTTCTGTGGCCCGTGTTCACACCTGCGCGGCCGATGGCACTGTCGCACGATTGTTGCAAACAAAACAAAAACGCAGTTGCGCAGTGGAGCTGGCACTTTTGGCGAAGCAGGTCCGTCCAGCATCATAGAGTGTTGAACGGTGGGACCAATGTTGCGGCGCGCGCTCTGCTGTGGGTTTGTGGATGTGGTGGCGGTGCGGGGGAGTGGGGCCAGCCAGGGGAGAGAGGCTGTGGGGCTTCTGTCATCTTGTTTTTATTTGATAAGATCTTGTATTATTTGGAGATCATAGACTGGCCTAAATGTTTCAAACGTAATGCACATGCTTCCATATAATGTCAAATATGCAAACTGTAGATTGTGCAGAGTCGAGTCTCAGGTCTGATCTGATTCTGGTCTGGTTCCTGTTTTGTCCGGTTCATTAAATATATTAAGTTACACATTCCAAGACCAGACTGTAAAAAGTCAAGATTTTCAACAATGATGGTGCACAGTTAGAAAAGTTAATTTAAAAAATTTCTCACAAGTTCAGCCCAAATACTACACATTGAAATCAATACAATCTGATCCCGCACATATCCTTAGCTCATTTTATAATGTTTTATAGAAGTATCGGATCGGGACTTGGTATCAGCAGATACTCAAAATCAAAGGACTCGGACTTGGACCCGGGGGCAAAAAAATGTGATCGGGACATCCCTAGTTACAATAATATTTATGCTGTTATACTTGTTTTGGTACAGTTCAAGATCATTCTAAAGCTATTCAGGAAAAGTTCATTTCATGTCCAGTAGATGTGATTTTTTTAGTATCAATACTTGTTCAGATGAGTACGTAGTTTTGACATTAGTTTTAGTTTTAGTATCAATAAGTAGT